AGAATTATTCAATCAAAATGGTAAATAATACACTAAATGTAGTTGTTAAAATTAATATTACTTTCCTTTTGGATGCTCGTTATAGTCTCTAATTGTACAGAAGCAGTTGTGCAGTAGAAAATATTTTTCTTGGAACTTAAACTTTTGTATCGAATTTAATCAATTAATGCCATCTGACAAAGTGTTGTAAAATACTGTACATGTATGTGAATTTTTTGTAGTGAGTTGTTGATACTGGCACTAGGATTGCAAATGCACAAGGATTGTAAAAGCAAACATCATATAAATATAATTTTAAAATTTTAATTTTCAAAATTATAACATCGCCCAAAATCCATCTGGTTTCGGAATCTCTAACATATTCACGGGAGGAATAATTTGATTTGACAATGACAGCGCGCAGTTTTACCACTTTTTCAAAATTGTCCAAAAGTACGAAAACATTTTAAAAATACGCTTCAGCTATTTTACTTGGAAAAAGAGAATCACAAAGTGAATTCTATCAAGGAAACAAACGCCGTTTTGGGATCAAAAATCGAGTCGCAGGATAAAAGTGATCTGGTCATTCTTTCCGGTAGTGGAATTGTAACGAAAGATCTTATAAGTAAAATATATATAAAATGCGATGTGAAGCGATGGAATATTGGTGATATTTACACAATTAGTTCGATTTTTGTTTTGAAAACAGTTCCAAATCGCAATCGATATTAAAAGTAACGCTTTAAATAATTGTAAGACCGTTTTAGAAGGAAGACGGAAAAAATGAATTATAGAAATAGTTTTATACTACTATTACAGATCATACGAGACCATTTGCTGTTGTTACAGCATCACTACTTTGACGAGGGAAAATATATTGAGATGTAAAGTGACGAAAGCATGCTTGGTCTCGCAAGTTTGGCCTTGGTGGATGACGCCACGGGTGAAAGGGAGAAGGGGCAAGGTGTTTTCCCAAATTTCACTTTACGACGCTCCTATTCATCCGATTTGCATGATTAACAAGCCGTTGGATACAGGAAACGTCGCCATCGCGCTATAACCCCACGTTTTTTAAATTTTTCTTGGAAGTTCGAGCACCAATTTCCAATTCGAGTTATTCCCAGATTTTTGAAAAAAGGGCTTCGTAGCGTAAATTCTATTTTAAAACGGCGTAAAATGCCGTTTAAAGATCGAAAATCGGACCATTGGTTCAGACTTCATCGGTGAAGTAAATTCCCCTGTGACAGTGCTGCGATCTATTCAATTTTCCTTAAAGTATTTTTCGGTGCATTTATCCTTAATGAATGAAATACAATGTTTTAAACATTGTTTTAAGCCTGCAATTTGTAATTTCCAACGTATCAAAGAAAGGTTTTGGTTTGCAGAATTTTAATATGGCAATGGTTGTAGAATGAGCCCCAAACTTCCAACGGGCTCGCAGTATTACTACCCATCTAGTGTATGTAAATACACTACAACTTGTGTTCGTACTATTTTTGTTTTAGCCACTAAAGGCTCCAGCCAAAAACAAAAAGGAACTAGTGGTGCTACTGAATGGCACAGATTTTCTCGTACTAGTTTCCTAATTTCTTTGGTGGGGGCTAGCTTTTCGGTCGTGCCCCATGCTCTTGCCAGCTGCCATGATTGTTACACATCTGCTCAATTTTTCGGTTTCTAAATGGTAGAACCGAAAAATTACTTGAATATTATTACAGGGTAAAACTTCTTCCCATTTGGAAATTTTCGTTGAAAATTTGGTACTATTTTTACGAAATTGGCGTTTAAGCGTTACTGTAAATGCGAAACTTGAAGCTCTTTTTCACAGAAAACTATTGACATTTCGAAAAACGTTATTGTAAGTCGTTTGAACCACTGCTACCCACAAATACAATAATGTTTAAATATCGCTGGAATTGTGCATATTAACAGCGTGGGAAATAATTCAAAAAATGGCATGTGTATTTTTTGAAGAAACAAAAGAATGCAACAAAATTAATTTTATGTCACCTTAAACAGTGCAATTAGCATTATCCGTACAAAATGTGTGAAGAACAAATTTGGAGCCGTTTTTGAGAAAATGGTGTTTGAATGTGTCTAAAATGTGAAAATTTGAGCTCAATTTCACAGAAAACAGTCGAGTTTCCGAGATACTTTATACAACATAATTTGTAGCACATGTCTTATAAATATAATAATAGGCCACTAATCTAAATATTAACGACGTGAGAGAAAAAGTACAAAATATACATTAGTGCAATTTTTGAAAAACAAAATAATAGAGCAAAAGAGCGTTTATGACATTTTATAGTGTACATTTAGCATTATCCATCCCAAAAGTTGAAAGAAAAAAATCAGGAGTAGTTTTTAAAAATATCTTATTTTTAATATTGCACATGTTAGATGCAATATCTTGGGAAAATTAATACAAATTTTAAAACAAGTGCATAACCTAAACGAATAACTAATTACAGATAATACATTTTTTGAAAAAAAAAAAAATTCTCTTCAAGTTTGTATTGTAGGAAAACGCCGAAAAAAAATCATTCTCTAGCAATTTTCAAAAATTCAGAGTTTTTAGTGAAAATTGGAATTATGCCATCTTTATAAATGTAATTCACTATTTTTTTTACAAAAAATTTAAAGAAAAAAAAACTTGAGGCTTTTTTGAGGAAATTTTGAAATGAAAAGCTGCATGTTAAGTACCTCCAAAAATCAATGAATATTTTTCAGCAGAGCTTCGACTCATGTATCGATATTTACTCAGTTTGGGAAAATTTATACGCATAGTTTAGGCGCTAGTACCCAACATGCGCACGGATGGTTTGAAAAAAAAACTTTTTCGGATACATAATATTATTTGTACGATGTATGTATATATATATATTATATTGTTATTAATTACTACATATAATATATATTACATATATATATATATATAATTATTATATATTATATATAATATATATTATATTATATATATATATTTATTTTTACAAAAAATTTTTATAATCGCCATCTAAAGTAGTTTTTAAACAATTTCTCAATTTTTCGGTTTCTTAACAGTAAAACGGAAATATTACTTGAAGAATATTAAAGAAGAGTAAAACCTCGTCATAGAAGGAATTACTGGTTGAAAAATTTGGAGCCGTTTTAAAGAAAATTGCGTTTAAGGGTTGCTGACAATGCGAAATTAAAGCTCTTTTTCACAGAAATCTTTTGAGTTTCCAAAAAGCTTTTGTACGGATAGTGCTAAATGAACTGTTTAATATAACAATCTTTTCTTTTTTTTTTTAATTACACAATTTTTTTTTTTTGAAGAATCTGTAACGCAGTTAATAAGCACATTTCCAGCAAAGTATAAACACTATTGCATTTCTGAATTAAGGTACTTTAAACAACTTCCAATGAAGTTTTTCAAAAACCTAAAAAATTTTCTGTGAAAAAGAGCTTCAATTTTCTAACAGTAACGCTTAAGTGCCATTTGCTTCAAAACGGCTCCAAGTTTTTCAATTGCGATAATGAAGTTCATATTATTATAGTTTTCACAAATGTTGAAGATGAAGTTATATTTGTTTTTTTAAATAGCATTTAATTCATTTTTTAGTCATAATAAAAGTGGGGGACATATTATCACCTTCTTCTCTATAAATACTTTTTATCTTGCCAAAAATAGAAGATTGCATTTTAATTAAAATAATTTATTAATGAATATTTTTAAAATATGTATGCTGTTGTTATGTATAAACATTAGTGACCATAATAAATATTTTCGATATATGATTCACTGAGAAAATGCATTGTTGAATTTACAGTTCAGATCTAATAACAATGATGATCATCACCTTGTGTGTTCATCTAATTAATAAAAATGAATTAAATAATTAACAAAATAGAAAACACTGTGTATATTGGCAGCAGAATTAACTTAGAAGCATTAAAATAAACAAATATTTTAATGTTTATAATAGCACTCAAATTTGCTCCATGTTAAAAGATCCGAAATCCTACCTCCAATTGTACTTCAGTCAATGACCCCCCCCCCCCCCCNNNNCCATCTCCAGTTTTTTTGTACGGTATCACTGATCCTTTGAGAGAATGCTAGGATAGCCCCTTGTTTGCTTCTGGGCATAAATCCCTGCTTCACTTCCTCTGCAAGTTTCTAGAGTTCAGAGAGTAATACCATTATTCAAATTAAATTCTCCATGTTCTCACAGCAGTAAAATCTAGACCTTCACAAAGGGTAAGGTGATAGACAATAGCCAAAATCTGTAGCTAGTTATACTTTGCAAATACTTTTTATAACATAGGAGATAATATTTTATCAATAACGCTTGTCTCAGTATCTGTATTCAGTACATTAATATGCAAAAGAGAAGTACTTTAATTAATGAAGCAGCTACAGAGAACACAACTAAAGGATTTCATTGAAACCAACTCGGTAATTCGAGTATCCACACAGTGATCTTGTGTTCCAGATCGTTACATGATTATAACTAGGGCTGGGAAGTTCATGAAAGGTTTTAGTCCTGCAATATGCATGCAAATGACACAAAAATGTTGAAATATGCACAAAAATTGTTAAGATATGTGGCGTTTGGTCACAAAAATATATTTTACAATGACGTTACATATTCTTGCCACCTAGAGGAAGCAGAGATATGCAAATTAAACAGATTAGTATCTACTTCTGCATATTTTGTTTTGATTTAAAAACACAGAAAGCCACGATAATTTTATTAACGTTATCTGTTGTTGAGGAGTGTCACCTATCAGACAATATAATTTTGTACATAGAAAAGTATATTTGGACTCGCATGACATTATGGGAGACTATATTTGTGCTCAAGACAGTGTCTGGAAGATAAACACACTTTTCTTCCAAAAATTTACCCATTGTCTGTTAAGTATGAAGCCCTAGATTCTTTCCAAACTCATTTGTTTTCTTCCTATTTGCTTTTCCCATTTTACCCGGAACACTTTGTCCCTTTCCTCCTGAATAACTGCTAGTGCATCTACGACGGTTTTCCTTGAATTCTTTATCTTCTTTATAAACAGATGAGAGTAGATATTACTTCAGCGGCACTGGCTGTCAGTAGTCAAACTCATCATTAGTACTTATGTATTTGAAGCAACAAGTAAGTTCACACTTTTCATTAATTAACATTTTTTGCGCGGACATTTCAAAATTTTAAAAAAAGTTGCAAAAATTTTCATTTATATGCCAAGAAGCTCTCAATATGCAAATTATGCCATATTTGCGAAACTTTTCTGACCCTATTTTCAATATTTTGCCATGAAAAACACATTTCAAAGTTTCAGGCAAATATGACTATTAACGAAAAATATGCAACTGCATAAACTTCCCAGCACTAATTATACCAGTATTATTTATATTTCTACAAATGTTTTGAAGCTTTAGGTAAAACAACTCTAAATTTTTGTTGTTATAATTAATAGGATTTTCATTACACAAATCAGTCTGGTGTATATTTAACTGAAGACCTGTTTATCATTTTGGAAAACAAACAAAACATTTTTTGGGTGTTTCGACCTCTTTACTCAACACAATTCTGTCATAACATAGTCAATGATTTTTTTTGGCAACATTATGTAACTTTCTTTGTATGTTAAAAAAAGAAGGCATTAGATGGCTCTTAATTAAAGAATTTATTAATAATGATTATTTTTTGGGGGGGTTTTGAAGTCTCTACATACAAGATTTGCCTGCAGCGGCATTTTTTGTGTTTCCACAAACTACTATGGTAAAGTACCATCTTTAAGTACCAAGCATTGTGTGGTGTGAAGAAAGAGAACTGCACTCTGATATGGAGTCAATGAATAACTAAAATATAAATGGGAAATAACCAAATCTTTTAAAACTATACTTTTTTCCACTTCAACACATTCAATGAATATCAATTTGTTTCTTAAACATGTTGATTTCATTTCTATAAATCTGCTTAAAACTTTCTACTTCAGAAAACTTCAAAACAAACATACTTACACTTTTTTATGCAACTGGAATGAAAAAGTTTCTTACAAGAAAACATTTCTAGAAGTGTCTGAGAACACTTCCCCACAGAATGTTTACAATCGTCCAATGACCACGAATGAATATATTTCCTAGAACACCACCTATATTACTTATCAGTATTCCTCTTGTGCCTTTCTTAGGAACTAAAAAAGCTTTTCTTTGTTGAAGCATTACCTACAAGTTACAACGGTAATATCACTGGAAAGGAACTATGCCAATCAAATTAATATAATAAGGAGAATTTTAAATTTCCATACTTCAGTGGTTTGTTTTTTACTCAGATTTATTATATTACATTAGAGATAAAACAATTCAAATTTTCAAAACTATTTTATTTTTATGCTTTCACTGTCCAATTCACTTGAGGCTGCCTGACCAATGAAAAATTATTTTTTCCAGCACTTATGTGTTAAGGCAAACCTCTCAACCTTGCTTTCAGTTTTGCTGGTTCCTAACCTTTCCGATCATATCATCCAGATTTATCATTTTCCCTATATTCATAAGAATAATAAACGCATATTAATAGGATATAGTGAAGGCTGAATATTTCACTAAAAATAAAACAATCTCTTGACCACAAACCAAAAGGTAACTTATCAGACATAATAATCACAAATGCCAACTTACAAAACACACTATAAAACCATACACATGAGTATTACAACAATGAATGCACAGAGACAGTGAAAGAAAAATCAAGTTTGTTACTTTTACTATGGTTTGAACCCTTCCCAAAACCAGCTCAAAAACTTATGTAATTAGTAACCGTAATAATACCCCACATTTACATTGAAAACACAGCACTTTGTACCTCAAGCAAGAATATTCAGAAACTGTCAAAAACAAGGTTTTAATTTTTATCCTGAGAATTCATTCAAATGTATAGAACAAATACGTAGATAATTTTGAAAAAAATTCACAAGTTTCTAGGAAAACAACAGCTTGAACTCTAGCAGTATGTTTTCAGAAACCTCGTGCACAAGCAGCTTGCACATTACAAGTATATTCATAATGCCATGATGTTGTTTCATTAAGTAATTCAACAGGAAAAGAATCTACAAGGAAAGTTACTGAAAATAAACAAATACCAATGGAGTTTTCAATTTTTTTTTATTGTAGGGTGCACTGTGTTAAAATGTTTTGAATACTACATATAATTGCAGAAATAAATATGTTTGTATTTATAATATATGGTGAATGTATATCAAGAGTCATGTAACCACCACGCATTTGACCCCTCAGCACAAGAAAACAATTGCTAAAAAACTTGTGTAATCAACTATTTAATAATTTTTGAATAGTAATTTGATGGATTCAAAGTTTTTATTCTTTGTAATAATGCATCATTTTCACCACTCAAAAGTTGTCTTATCCTATTACAAACTGCAGTCACATTTCACACAGTACATAAGAACTTGCATACAAATACAATTTCAGTCAAGATAAAACAGTAGACTCTCAATTATTTGTTTACACTATTCAGATTAATGCAACTCAGAACATGTTTAACATACACAGAAAGGTAGAAACTGCACACCTTTCATTCTTATTTTTAAATTCATTTGTAAATTACACAATCGTGACCAAGTAACTTTAATACGTTACTTCCTACTCTTTATGCAAGATTTAGCACAGGTGTAAGGCAGAGGTGGAGCTGAGGCACTAAATTTTGGGTGGAGTACATTCCACAAAGGTAATGTTAGAGCTATAGTTCAGAGCTGCAAACTGTAAATGCAGGCACTCAAACGCACAATTATTCACTCATTTTTCGTCTTCTTTGGTTATGAATAATACAAGAGTGAAAAGTCTTAAAATGAAATTGGCATGATTTGGAGTATAAGTGAGCATTTTCTGTTTCATAATATAATTAAGAGTTTACTGTGTTTCTCTCAAGGCAAATCAATTAAAAACAGAACAGGATAACATGCTGGTTACATGTCCATTATACCAAAACCTTCTACCAATCAAGCAAATCCCATAGTTAAAAAAATAATGGAATGACCATCCCACCAGTTTCTCTTGACACACACTTTAATCGTTTACACTTTATATGAAAAAAATTAAAAAAAAAAAAAAATCTGAAACAAACACCTAAAAACTACATAAAGAATATTGAAGTTTAAAACTTGTGACTTCTTTGTTCTTTTCATGTTTTTAAATCACTTAATAGCTTATCTTGCAGACCCAACATACTATTTTTTTTTTATACTTTTACATATTATTATATTTTTTTTTGATTTTTGGGAGATAGTGCAGCAGAGAGCTATAGAGGAGAACAAGCTACTGAACGTTGTACAACATGAAGAGTTGGGATGCGTCTGCATTGCTGGGAGTCAGAGGATGTCCTGGAGGTAGAGCAGCAAATCCCAGGAACATAAATGTTCGTACCAGTAGGGCTAAAACACACACACAAATAACAATCAACAAAACGTGAAACGTGAGAAATTACAAAATACACACAATAAAAGGCAAGTCTACATCTGCTAAAAATTTGTCACTTTCACTCTTCATGTGTTTCATTGTGTGTTTAACAACAATTAAAATCTGTTTGAATCTAGCTAATTTGTGAATTGTGCAGTGAATGTTCACATTCTACATCCAAAAGGACTGGATAAAGTGAAGTAGGAAAAGCTTCGAAACTATTTGGACTTCAGCAGGTGAAGTGAACATTAACCAACATGAGGTAGAAGTTAGGTGAAGTACATTACGATGACAAGAAATATCAGATTTTATGAGATTATCGGACTACTGGTGTGAGAGAGGGTGCGTAGTTTTGAGTTCCACCGTGAGAGTCGTAAATTTCTATTAAAAGAATATCACCTAACCTCACAGTGGACATTTCACTACTTATGTCCAACTTGGAGTGAAGAGGCTCTGGCCTATAGAATTAACATAAAAAACTTTGAATCTGCGCAACATACAATTCCCACTGTACTTTTATGTTGAAATACTTGTCATTAACACTCAAGAACCCCCCATGCATTGACATTCACCATACTTTAACCAGTTTTTTGTAATGCAAACATTAGCCAGATGATTTAATTCGTTCAGTCATACAGCTTATCCAAAACAACTGGCTGTTGGGCAAATTAGCTATATTTCAGCACATACACATGTTTCAGCTGAAGTCTGGATCTAGCTAATTATCAAATTAGCCAGTTAACATTCACATTTTCCTAAACAAGTGGATAAAATCTGTAGTAGGAGCAATTTCAAAGCCTGCTGCTGACATTAGCAAACACAAGGTAGCTCTACAGTTTTTGTAGGGTAGGTGAAGTATGTTGTGGTGACAAGGGAAAGCAGATGTGTGATAAACACGATGTCTGCTGATGGGAAGATTCTATGGCTAACAAGAAGCAAGAGTGTAGTTTCAAGTTCTATTGTGTGTCATAAATTCTTAATTACTCGATGCCATCTAACCTAACATCACTGAATACCTCAGTTGAGTTTTTATGCATTTCAGAGACTAAGATGAGGCTTTGGCCATCAGACTTGACATAAAAAATAATTTTGAGTCTGCATGCATAGGGTATCAACACCAGTAGTAACCATTGAGTCAGTAGCAATCACTTCCAAGCATGTAATTTGAAAAGTAAAAATTGGAGGCTTCCCACACAATTGAAAATTGCAGAATGTGGAGCTTATAAGGTTCTGTCGTCTAAGGCTAAGAATTAGATAAGAAATTAATGCATTTCTTTTACCTTTTATATTATATTTAAAGAATAAGCTGGAAATATAGGTTTAATATTAAAATGATGAAAATTAAACACGAGTAGGTATTTTTTGAAATTTCTTTTGTCTCAAACTTGTTCAGGGGGTAAGAATAGCAACTGACTGTTACTAAGAGTAGTATTTGAAATAAATTAATAAAAAGTGGAAAAAATTAGAATTTGCCCATTTTCAAATGAGGGGAATATTCAGAAAGAGGTTAATCATCCATTGAGCTTATTATTGTATGCCACTCAAAAATGATGTATTAGTCTATGCCAAGAACTTTGAGAAAAGAACAGATACTACAGGTGCTGTAGCATTTTTATACCAAATTATTGAATGAGTCAGCACCTTGTAGCTAATAACATTAGGCACATGAAGTCTTGAAAATAATTATTCATTGTCATTCAGGTTGTTTAATCCACACTGTGTCACTTATGTGCAAATTAATCAACTACTCTAACTATTAGCTAAACTTTCGCCATTGCACACAAAAGAAGTTATTCCAAATACCTGGGTTCTACAATTATTTGTGGCGTATGTATCAAGAAAACAATATTGGTAACATGTCCACAATTTGTGTTTTATGTCAAATTTTTTACAACATTTTCTAATATTATTACCAGGTAAATTTGAAAAGAGAAAGAAAAAGAAACAAAAGAAGAAAGAGAAAGAAAGTCTGAAACTACTACTTTCACATTCTATGTAAATAAAGAATTAATATACTCGCCTTATGTGTTGAGGCTATGACATTTACCGTTAATTTTATTTCGTCACTTACCACGATCAGGTCGATCTTTACAGAAGCATACTATTATCTGCTCACAATTCAGAACATCTTCTGCATACTCCAACAGTCTCACAAACCTATAAAATAGAAGACACAAAATGTAAGGGTAAAACATTATTTTAAACACAGTAAATGATCATTTGAAAGGAAAATGTCACAATCCATTCTAAGCCCATAGATCTAGATAACAATATTCCTCAGATCCCATCTTTTCAGAGTAGCTGTGCGCTAGTTGTCAATACAATTTTATTCTGCAAAACCATTTAACTGTATATGCAAGAATATCTCTTAAGAGAGCCTCAGAACATACTATTTCAGACAGCATTTAAATAAGTATTCTCACATTGGATAAAGCTATCAGCTTTTTAAACAATGAAAGTCTTCAATAAAGTCAATTTTTAAAACTTTTCAAAGAACATTCTTTTGAAATCCATATTGACTCCATATCCATATTGAACATACTTGCTCTATAATGTCATGAAAATTAGTTAAATAAAAATTTCCAAAAAAACTACCATATTTACTCTAATATTAAGTTGGCTCTGAATTCAAGACAATCCCCTAATATTGAAGAGGCCTTCCAAGAATTTTTAAAATTTTAAAGTATTTCGTACTATTTGGTCAAAATAAAATTGCAAATAGTGATTAGAAAATTGTGATGTTGACGAGAATGTTAAAGGCATTGCCTATCATTTTCTTGTTCTTTAAAATGATCATGATCATTGTTTGTCACTACCCTTAACATCGTCACATGTATCAATGTTTCTTTTTGTTCCTCCATCCCTGCTTCGACATTGAGTTTTTAGTACCCCTCTGAAAATTTTGTGCATTGAATGTGTGTTTCTTTTTGGTCTTTCATCAGACACCCTCTAAGAACCTTCCCCTTTGTGTCACTAAATTTTCCATCTAACCCCCACTTGTTGATGAACTGTTTCTTTAACAGTACTTTCACACTTTTTAATAGAATAAAATTGAAATTAGCATCATTTACTGTTCATGTGTCAGAGCTGCGAACTCTTACATCCCTGTCCCTACCTTTCGCAGGTAAAGGGGGAGACAGTGGTAAGTTTACAAATTTGAGACGTTTTTGCCAAGATAAAATATATCCCTTTCCCGTTCTTAGATGTAGAATGTGTACATAAATTCTTGTCTGTCCGAGAGACGCCACTTCTTAGGCTCAGATGCCCAAGTTCCGGGGGAAATGCAGGAAGGCCGCATAATGGCGGTCAAAAAGTGGCATCTATGCCTAGGCACAGCCAAGTAGGCACCAACTTCGCCCGCGGAAACCTATGCTCTCGTAAAACATTTATGTCTATCAATGTTTTTCACTTCCTTGCGAAATGCAGATTCGCACTATACGCGAGCGTCGAATCAAGGTTCAGCGCAGCTTTGTTGAAACTGCATCTTATACCATCACATCATTTATATTCACGGTAGATTTCACTTAATACAATGCCATTTGTTTGAGATTTTGTGTACCTGCCCATTCAAAAAGATCGGTCTGCTCAGTAAATTATACGTGCCATATTCTTACCATCTTCGCAGCTTATTCTTAGGTCTACATTTAAGAGTTTCACGTCATGGAAAGGCAATGTAAAAGCACTAACCGACTAGGCTTAATTTGCGAATATAAAAACGACCAGCATTTATTGACAGATATTTAGGAAAATAGCTTCGTCTTACCAATATATTTGGGTAAATATGGTAAATCAATCTCTTATGGCCACGTTTTTGTAATACAATTATAGACCCACCATTTATAGTATTTACTGTGATGAATATTGATCATATGAAAAGAACCATAATTTAACATTTATTTTCATCAAAATATTAAATGTTTGGATGCTGTCAAGGCTTTAAGCATCCTGCACACAACTTAAATAGTGGTTCAAGATTAACTTCTCAAGGATACACAGGTAATATAAACTAAAGTTTCTTTTAAGGTTTAGATTTTAAAGGACTGTGATGCAATGAACTGTTACCAGGAGAGAGGCAGTAAATGTCAGCAAAACCAGTGGGTGAGTAGTATTTACTTTGTTTTTCTTTCCAGTTCATTTTCTCAGGTCCATTATTCAGAAGTATCAGTAATTCCACAAGCGTTTGAAAGTGAAATGTGAAAGTGAAATGTGAATTGTACTATAACAAATTATAGTCCCAAATTTAAAGTGTGTAAATTCTTTACACACCTCTGTGGGCACTTTTGAAAAATAGTTAAGCAATTTCACCTTACAAAAACAATATAAAATATACGCACCCTTCTTTGGAGCCTTCTGGTGGCAGGCATGCGGGGACTTGGATATACATACGGTGTTGCCACAAAACTGTCTCCCACAGCCCAACAGCCACCTCACTCAGACGCAACACAAAACTCAGGCGTAATGGCTGTGTCCCGCTTGCTGCCAACAGCAAGTCCTCCTCCTAAACAACCGTTAGGCAATTACATAATGGAAATAAAAAAGATAAAGGAATTTTAAGTTAGTAAGATCATCCTTAAATAAAGTACATTTAAATGTCTACCACTGAGGTACTTAAAAACCATCCAAGGATAGGTTAGATTTTATTATAAACATATATAATTCATTAGATTTACTGGACATTGTGTAGTAGTGTTCAAAAAAATAATCACAGAAAAGATAATTTTATTTGCATTCTTGAAAAAGTTTTGAATCTAGTAATGAACTACGCTTAAGATTCCTTGCACAATAAAAAAGTTTGATGAGCAAAAATGGCAGTCAGTACAATGTAAATTAATTCTGTTAAAAAATTCATAAAAAAAGGAATATCTCACACAATGGAAGATAATTGATACACATTACACACTAATTAAGAACTACAATTGCCTTATTATCATACAGAGCTAGAGGGCACAGTATCTTTCATGGAGAAAAACTATTTGAACCCTTACTCAAAAAACTAAAGTTTTCACAACACACTTCTTCAACGTTCAGAATTCAAAATTAAAGGGAAACTCAATGTTTACGAAATATTTTACTCTAGTGAAAGCTTTGAAACCATTTTATTTGAAACGCACTTCTAATTTCTTGTAAACAATTTATTGCATTTCATACACGCGGTTGCTGACACTCACTGAGCAGAGATGCTGCTCTCCTGGTTTCCCCGCGCCGGCGCCGCCTGGGGAGGTTGAAGGCGGCGGCAGCAATTCGGCGCGGGGGGCATCAGGACCAAGACCGAGGCCCCACCGCCAGCGTCACGCGGTACCACTGGCTCTGCGCGCCTCTCGTCTCGCTACTGCAACACACACACACACACAATCAATACGTGGCAAACAGTGACGAGAAACAAAACGTGACAAGGAAAGAAAACGAGAAAAAATCACAATGCCAGGAGACGCTACACTTATTTGTACAATGAGATGCTACAAGAAAAGTTTACGAAAACAATGGAATCTGTGGATTAAGAAAATTTAAGAACTCCGCTATTTAAATCATGAGGAAATTGATGTGAACATCTACAATTATAATTGAAAAGTAACCTTTGGATTTGCTTGAGCATTTGGTGACTGATTTCGACAGAAAGTGAAAAGCACATTATAGCACTAGATGGCCTTGAGGAGCAACGACGGGGCACGAACTTCGGCGGATAGAAAGGAGTACGTACACCAAGTAGCCGCAGAGGCCGACAATGAAATCCAAATGAGAAATAAAGATAACAGAGCAATGAGCGAAAAAGTCGATCGAGATGCAGCCAATGGCAAATTCGTGATGAGTGAAGGGTCGTTCAAGAAATACGTACATGCTACTCGGAGATCAGAAATTGAAAACGAAGGGTAGTATAAAGAAACGAGCAGCTCAGCTGAAGACAGTTCTTGTAGATCGAATCATAAACATAAGAGAACCTGGCTATGGTCAAGTGACGTCCGGAATATCAAATCACAGCCTCTGAAGCAAGCAAGGGTTAAACAGGCTCGGTTCGGTAAGCGATGCTTCAGAAAGTGTACCGAATTGCCGGTTGCAGAGTGCCGGTTAAACCTGTTTTGAGTTCTTGATTGGGGTGTCTTAAGGGAAGATTCATAACCGGCGGAGAAAAGCCGGCTGCGGTTTTCTGCGAAGTATGTATGCTATTTGAAGGAAGTAAGCGTTTGCTTCCACTCCTTATAAGGATATAAGCCAGAGGGGAAATATTGAAATTCCTGTGGTTTCGCAAACGGGAGAGCACTTTAAAATATACATTCACCATTCCAATTGTTCTAGTTCCAGGTAGATTTGGTTCTGAAATTTCGTACGGAATTGCATTTTTTTTAACATCAATATCAATGTTCTCAAGTGCACATGCTTCAATCAATTCTTCCATCGCAGGGAACAACAATCACCATTACGCTCTTTGGAAAGAACACTTCGTAAACACCAAGAGAGAAAAAAGTGAACATCTCCTTGTCACCCTTCCCATTCGATAAATGCTCCAAAAATTAGTAAAAAATCCTAACAAAATTCAGAGTAATTTGTTTTCATGTATTTACAAAAATGTGTTATCATTGAAAGTAATAAGCATTTCTTACTAACGAAAGTTCGATTCCAATGAAATTCTTCGGAACTGATTTCGCGAATATGGAAGAGCGAATGAACGAGGTCTGACTACACTAAGAATATGCATATTTGGCACGAAATTGTACGATAGGAAAATAAGTTAAAACATTTATTTTTGATATGTATCAGCGGAACGACTCCTACATTAAGTGCACATTAGGACGAAATCGTAGAATGTTGATCAAATGGTATTTTTTTCACAACTACGGTTTAAATCTAGCATATGAAGTAACTTAATATTTGTATTACACTTTTGTGCGCGTAAATAACCAAAAAATTAATGTGACCCATACTTATTACATTTTACGTAGACTTATTAAAGAGTGTAAAATATTGCGCTTAAAGTGATAAGAGTTCTGGAGTTGTCGACCTCTACAATCACTTGTTTCTTTTCCAATCTCGTGCCTAAAAATACATTTTCGCAACTTGTTATATAAATGTTTTTCTGCCCTTCTATTGCTTGTACGAAAATGAGATAACGAACAATTCATAAGCTGTAAAACGAAGTTTCACAATCTCAGTTTAGTTAATAA